CTTATAATTACCCACCCTGCATAATGAATTTGATAAATTAATTAATTAAATTTACTATGGTCATTTTGTTAATTATTAAAAATATTTTTTATTTTAACCAAACCTACTTTATTTTTCATAAAAAACCGTACAATTTTTGTTTAAAAATTTTTTTCTATCTGCAATAGTTATCGAGATAATATAAAGGGGATGAAAATTTGAGGGGTAGTTTCATTCCTTAACCCTGCGCGATTGCCGATAAAAGAAGTACGATCTTTTACTTTTGGCTACTCTACAAATATGCCAAATTTCGTTGAAATCGGAAACACACACTTTGCAGATGTTCCTTGTAAGTATTTTATGGGATTTTAAAGGCATTATTTATTATGAGTTGCTCAAATCCAGTGAGACTGTTACTTTTGAACGTTATCAACAGCAACTCATTAATTTAAGCGAGAAAAATACCATTTACCGGCAGCAGAACCCGGCATGTACTTCTGCTGCACGATAATGCGCGGCCACATACGGCAAAGTGACCGTGGAACATATTTGTTTTTTGAACTGGAAAATTCTCCTACATGCGGTTTCTTTTCCAGATCTTGGCCCTACGGATTATCACCTATTTCGGTTGCTTCAGCAGCACTTTGTGTATTCCCACTTTCAATCTCCCGAGAAAGTCGAAAGGAAGCAAAGGAAGCAAGATAAATATTAAAATCCTGCTAAAAAGATATTGAACTTATGTATAGACTTAATAACAACTCAATAATTATTGAGATTATCACAAAACGGTATGCGAATTTTCTATTAGTTTTAATCCGTTCTATTTCTCTACGAATTCCTCGTACTGACAAGGGACATTCGGCAACGCGGAAATTCAAAAAAATCTGAAACTCTGCATAATTGTAGAGCAGATATACCTAATAACAAAACAATTTTTCGTTGGTGCCCAAAAACGGTTTTAAGGGTGGAAACAACCCCTTGAACAAAGTTGATTTTTGTCTTTCTAAGCGAATATTATCGAAACTATTAAAAAATCTTCCTCATAATTGCAAACTGTAAAAGATAAGGAAGGAAGAAAATAGAAAATCTAAAAAAGCAATAAAGTTGATGTTAAGAAGTAAGTTGAAGAAGAACAGCATGATAAGGAGGACGCAGAGAGAGTATACATAACCCTAATATAGATAATCTTTTAAATTCAATTGTAAAGAACAAATAAGGAAATGAATGATATGAAGAAAAAAGGAGAACACACACGGATTTAATAATGAAAAATATAATTTATAAATTTATTCAGTGTACATTTGTATGTATGTGTTTTGCTTCATTCAGTATATAGGTTTTATTAATTAAGTAGTCGATATAGATATTCGAGTGAAAGATATCTTATATTTTGGTATGGATTATAATATATACAAATTTTACAGGAATTGAGGACAGTAAAATATTATTTATTCTATATAATTATTACAATAATGATATTGCTCAAAGAAATGTTCAAAACAAAAATATTGCTTGCACCATACACAACGTATAAAAGCCATTTTACCACAAATGCTACATTTTGGTATACGTTTTTCTTCTTTAAAATAACAATAATCGATTGGATTATGAAATTTTTCAGGCCGTGTTGATAAATAACCACTTTTATACCAGCTATATCTAAATAAATTTCGAAATCTTGGAGAAGACAGTTGATTGTGTGTTAAAGATTGCAATTTTATTATGTTATTACGTAAATGTAAATTTATGTCATAATTATTTATAATAACACTATCAGAAAAGCTTCGAACAAAATTTTTCCAGATTCTGAAACCAAAAACATCTAATGGCTGTATAGAAGCAGTTGTTTTTTTTGGTATTGTTAGAATATTTACATGTTTGTCTTTTAGTACAAATTCTTCCAATTGGTTCGGGCAATGTCCTGTCCATGAATCAAGCAGTAGTATACTTTTCTCTCCAGTGTTTGGTAGATACACTTCTTGGGACCAATTTTTGAAATGTTCAGTTGTCAATTTCCCTGATTTTGAAGCCGCAATGTAAATATTCACTGGTCTAAAAAGAGTTTGTTCTACTTGTGGTCCAAAAACACCAGTAGATTCTTTTAATACTATATACAAAGGCGAAAGGAGATGTCCATCTGCAGATATAATAGGCATAATGGTGTAGCTATGAGTCATAGCAGATAAAGATTGGATAGTAGCTCCAACTGTCTTCACTCCTACATTAGCTAATGTTCTTCCTGCATGTATTTCTAAATTAAAGCCACTTTCGTCCGCATTATAAGTTGATTCAGCACCGATTACATTAATATGTGGCTTTACTGTATTTACAAATTCCTCAGCGTTTTGACGTATAGTTAGATCAGTTAAATGAGAAGACCGCGTTTTAAATGCAGTTATTTTACGTGATGTAATACGATGTGCCTTTTTAAAATTCCATATCCACCAATTTCCTGCTTTAAATGAAGAAATATCCACTTGTTCCTTTGCTTCTAGTGCCCATTTTCGCAGATTTATATCATGAATAATAAGTCCTCTATTAATAGCTTCTTGGAATTTTATAAGAACATATTCAGCAATAACTACAAGTTTGTCTGTATTTGAACCCCCACGCATTACATGTTCTTGCCATCTGTGCAATTGTTGAATAGATTTTACCTAGAAGAAAACAAATCTCAATATTAAACAATTCGAATTCAAAAATAAAAGAAGTTATATACGAATTAAATGTTCACGAAACATCAAATTGTAAAACTTAAAATAAAAAACAACGCGACTCTAACTATATAATTTACAGCTTTGGTCATAAGTATAAAGCATCTCTAACTCATTGTATTTTCCTAGAAATCAATGCATATACTCATAGTAAATATATAATCTCTTTACAATAAATATTATATTAATATTTTATAATATAATGTGTATATTATATTTATGTATATTATATTTATATTATAATTTATATTATATTAATATTATATTATATTACAATAAATATTGTAAAATAAATATTATTTTCCACATATTCTTATATTATATTTTTTTATTATATTATTTTTCCATATACTCGTATACTATATTATGTTCTCCATATATTCATATAGTATGTTTTTGTTACACAATTTAAATAAATTTTTTGGGATGCTTTATACTTATAGTCAAAGCTGTATGTACAATAACCGACAATGATGCGTTCCGCGAGAGGGGAAATAGAGTTCTCTCTGTCGCGGAACGAATCACTGCCGGTCACTGTACACCGTAAAAGCCTCAAGTATTTTACTATATATTATTCTTCTTATTTTTTAATTAAACTTTACTTTTCTAAAACGATGTTGTACAGAAGTAAGAGATAAATGTCCTTTCTTTCCACTCTTCCAAAATTCGATTGCCTTTTTCTTATAATTTAAGTTTACATTTCCACCTTCATCATCCACAGTGCAAACTTCATTTCCATAATTATCTTCTTCAGCATCAATATCGTACACATCTACAAATTGTACGTCATGCGGTTCTGATGGATCGTCAAAATCAAGTCCCCACTCATGTTCGATCGTAATATCGTGATGTATAGCACTCTTTATTAAATCAGTAATTGTATCATGGAGTTCCACCTCTTGATGATTAACAGGAGTTATTGCAATATTTGTGAAATGAAATGTCGCAATTAACAAATTAATAACATTAGCTGGACTTATTACTGACATTATGATACAAATCTTAAGGATATTTTAATTAAACATTTCTCACAGCAATAATAATATACGTACTGCTTCAATAACTGCTTCAATAACACTGAAATGTATTCCAAAATGGACAGCTTTTATATGCAAATGAATGAAGATAACATATGTCAATATAATGAACCTTGATTGCACTGTACTTGATAAAGAGTGCTATTTTGATCGCACAGTCATAAAACTTGTGACAAGTGTTTTGCATGTTGCCATGATGTACACACACGTGCGCACGTACAAAAACACACATACACACACACACATATTTATTTATATTTACGCGTGTCGTTTAAATTAATGAAAAAGGTAGCCGCAATGTTGGCAAAATAAACGTCTATTACGTGAAATTTTATAATTTATAACATTTTTAAATATTAGTGACTGTATCCTTATCATGCTATTTTTCTCCTACTTACTTCTTAACATCAACTTTATTGCTTTTTTAGATTTTCTATTTTCTTCCTTCCTTATCTTTTACAGTTTGCAATTATGAGGAAGATTTGAGGAAGAAAGAAATGCCATCGTCAAGTAGCGAATCCTTAAGTTTGGTACGCGTAGCATACATATAAGAGCATGTTTAATTTTTTTTTCAATATTGCCTTTTCCAAACATAATGTTATTATATATGGTTGAATTTGTCATAAAATAAGCTTTATTTTGGTTGGACAATTGATTTTAACAATTTGAAAAAAGAGAAGGAGGGGGGGTATTTTATACACAATTTTACATTTTTAAAAAATCTAAATATAGCATAATAAAGTACTTTTAAAACCATAAAACTTTTGTCTAAAACATTTTTTCATATCTTTAATAGTTTCGATAATATTCGCTTAGAAAGACAAAAATCAACTTTGTTCAAGGGGTTGTTTCCACCCTTAAAACCGTTTTTGGGCACCAACGAAAAATTGTTTTGTTATTAGGTATATCTGCTCTACAATTATGCAGAGTTTCAGATTTTTTTAAATTTCCGCGTTGCCGAATGTCCCTTGTGAGTCATAAGACACATTGTATATGTAAATACAAATTGTAAATAATATCAAATAAGAGAACTAGCTTCAATGGCTATGATCTTAATATGTATTATTTATATAGAGGATATTTCCCTGAGTAATTTTCAAAGATTTTAGCCGCTGCTCATTGTTTATTAATAAGTGAAATTAACAAACAAGTTTCATTAATAGAGCTTGTTTTTCTGATACAGTGTAAGTTAAAAATATATTAAACAGTACATATGAGATGTGATAGAAGGTGGCTCGGCGGCTTTTGAAAGGTGCTTAAGAAGGTAATCTTGAAAATATATGTAGAAATTAAGGTCAATGGAGATGGGTTCTCTCTTCCGGTATATTTACCATAAAAAATTATAAGAGAATACAGCAGCTTATAGTTTATACCAGCTTATAGTTTATACCAGTTTATTAGATTTTATCATTGCTTTGTTTACAATAAATGTCTGCGTATCCCTGTTCACATTCCACCTTAACTCCTTCGATTTACAAAATCGCGAAGTTTTCAACATTATAAAACTTAACTGCTTAAGACGATATTTCATTAATAATATCAGCAAGTTCATTGCTTTCCAACATCGTGAGATGATTACCTTCGACATGGCGGACTTGTACGTTACCTTTGGTTATCTAAATAAATGATTAACATTGTCGTCAATTGATTTTCAAAGATGAAAACTTCGCATTGTTACATATCATTGCATCAAGAATACCTTATTCAAGCCGTAATTTTCATCTGCAGAAAGTAAATACGGCGTTGTGGGTTTTAGTAACAATATATGTGATTTCAGTGGCGGCAGTAAAGACGCATTATATTCGTGAACAGCGATCAGATGCTTATAAATTATCGTATAATAAGTCTTGTAATTTTCAATCGAAGTCAATTGTATAATATCGTCTGGGAGACATTCGATAAAAGCATCCAACTTCTTCTCCCACGTGTCGTGCTTGGACAATTGTATTAAAATCTGTTAACAATTATTGTTATTACTGTGTTTTATATTATAACAATAAACTCATTTTACACAACGTACCGATGTATTATTGATGGAGTAAAATAAATCCATAAGATTTAGGAGAATATTGTTTTGAAATTCCTGGAGATTGGTGAAAGGAAAATGATGTTCTTTCATAGTTCTCACACAGTCAGGCGTGCCATCGATTAATACTAAATATCCTGTGAAATTTCTGGCCTCCAACAGTCTCATTACCTCGATAGCAATTAATGTCCCATACGAGTACCCAACTATTATGAATTCTGCGGAATTCTCTATCTTCGATATTATATGCTATAGGAAAGATATAAGAAGTTTTTGTATTATTTTTTTAATCGATATAATCCGATATCAATCTGAAATGGATTCATTGAAATATCGAACAGATACCTTCTCTGTTATATTAATACGTACAGGTATTAGAGTGGCAGCCGACTGCAGCACGGATTCGCTCATGGGGATATTATTTGCTCCGTGTTGCAAACATGTAACGGGACTTTTAATTTTCGAGGCCAATGAATTAAATATGCTTGCGCAACCTTTGATTCCTGGTAGAAGAAATATTTGCTTTTTGCTCGCCTTATTTCTTGTAGTCATTTCCAAGCAAACATCTGGTATCACGATATCTAATACCTGCTCAATAAATGAATCAAAAATTTTACACCTGCCGAATCGAATACCTCAGTCTGTTCAAAACGCTTGTCTTTCTCGGCCATATTGTGGAGTTTCTCGAAAGTGAGACTTCGAATGTCTTGTGCCGTGAGATAAACATCAAATTCTCGCTCCAACGTTTGCTTGACCTCCACCGCCATCATCGAGTCCATACCGATCTCTGACAATGTGCGATGTCTGACCGTTTTCATGTCTTTCACTCCTAGACGGGCAAATACGAAAAAAGATAAGGCTCTTAATTTCTAGTCACAGTCGCTTATATTCATTTATGACAACAAAAGGCACGAAAAAAACACAACATTCAGACCACATATAGAGGAAGCAATGTATAATTAACCATAATTCATTAGCTATATTTTCAATGTTTCATCGCGAAAATCTCGAAACGTGCAACAGATTTATTATATATATAGAAAGAAGAAGATTACCCATGATGCTACGGTCTCCAAAATATCCATCACTCCACCTAATTCCGCACGCTTCTCAGCCACGACCATACTGTCCACGATCGGTCGATTTAATATCATAAAAGTGTCCAATGACTCAAGGCAAGACTGAATTTTCTGTTGCAAAGTACCGCCGATAATCAGTTCCTTATTATCCTCTTGCATATCGGCTAAGAGGCCCACATCATCCACCGCACCCCACTGTATAACCATCCCAGGTAATCCGTCCTGTACTCTCCTCTCACATATCCTCTCCATGACAGAATTGGTCATACCATAATTTGTTTGTCCGGCGTTTCCTCGGCTACACGAGACGGACGAAAAGATAAATAAAATGCCGGAGATCAGGATACATCTTTCTGGATAGCTCGTCCATCATCTTCGTGGCCATTGCCTTCGGCTTGAATGATTCTTTGAAGGATTCAGCAGTTTGATTCTTGTAAAGAGAGTCTTTCAGCACCACGGCAAGATTGAATATAGCGTCCACTGGTCCCATTTCAGCGGCAGAATTCAAAATGAACGCACAGTCCTTGCGATCAGACGCATCAGCACCCGTGATAATTTGCACATTCACCCCGTAAGATCTCCACAGTTCCATCCTTGAGCGCTGATAACCGTTTCGCAGCCCAGTCCGCGAAGTTAGAAGAAGATTCTTTGCTCCGCGAAGAAGCAGCCAGTCGGCTAATTCCAAACCGAAGCCGCCTAAGCCGCCTAAAATGATGTAAAATTTGTGAAGCTTGCAGAAAAATCGGGGATAAGCGAGAACAGGAAGACCTAATGTAAGTAACGTTTTCATCGTGTATCTTTATCAGGATTTGAAAATAAGAAAAGTAGTAGTAGAATTTCATATGATCATTCACGGAGTGCCAACAATAAAAAGAAACTTTTGTCTGCGTGAGAAATTACCTTTTCTATATGCTTACCAGCTGCCATGTATCTAAAGGCAGCTTCTACTTCGGTCCTTTCGAACACTTTCCTCGGGAGTGGTTTTATCGAGCCGTTTTTCAGATCTTGCAGCATATATTTATATACAATTTAATTATTTTTCGTAGTGGAATTTACTATATTGTCTAACATAATCGCTTGGAAACTGATGCCTTTTGCAAAAATCTTTATGTCTAGGGTATTATCGGCAATCAAGTCATATTTTCCTACTTCTAAGAATCGTCCGCTTTTCGCCAAACATCGAACAGACGCCTGAAGTTTTTCTTCAGCTAAGGAATTTAACACGATATCTACCCCTTGACCGTGTGTCTGCTCAAGGATCATTTGTTCGAAACTTGTGTCGCGAGAATTGCCGATATGATCGTCAAGGATCGAAGGGAAGGTTTCTCTAACGAATTGTCGTTTCTCCAAAGTCCCGACTGTCGTAAACACTTCACATCCTTCGTAAAGTGCCAGGTGGATTGCAGCTTGACCAACGCCGCCCGAATGAATGAGAATTTTGTCTCCTTTCTTCATCTTTCCTTTCTCGTAGAGAGCGTAGCAGCTTGTGGCATAAACACACGGAACAGTGGCAGCGTCCTCGAATGTCCATTCATCGGGAATAACCCAAGACATAACGTGGTCATCTATTAGAATATTTGATGTTCCTCTAGAAAGAAATAAGCAATTTCGCTTATTTTAACGTTGCTTTTCAATCATGCGAAAATTGGCATTATAGAAAAATCAATAATGTGTCTGCATTAGTGCAAAATCTAAAGTTTAATAGAATAGTATCATTATAAAATGTATATTTTCGATGTAATAATAACAATTTTAACAAATAACATTTCGAATTACATTATCTCACCTGTTGGAACATATTGCCATCATTCTCTGTCCAGACCTATTATAACCAACGATCTCAAAGCCTAAGAAAGAATCGATATCTCATCTAATCATTAGAAAGGATTCCAACGCCATTTTGCCAGTTGCTAACATAACATCTTAACACTGAAATTCAGTGCCGCGTAAATTGTATGTATAACATTTTCACGCTTAATTTTGGGAAATACCTGTCCTTCGACCCAGCGGAATGTGCTCATATCACCCCGAATCTAGTAAAAATTAAGTTCGTTTTATAACTTACTATCGTTAATATAAAAAAAAATTTTGCTTGTGTAATAATGTTTTTTATTTGAAATGAATTGAATTATTTCGATATTTTACCGCGCAAGGTTCAACAATGTTTTACGTAAATTCCTTTCCGTGCCGTTCTTGTTGTCGTGAATGTTTACGTATCCCCTGAGCGACGTAACCGCATTGCACAGGTATCAGTTTCGGCGGCGGTAATGATAAGTGTCTGTAAGAGCCCCAAATATTACCGGGACGTAAGACATTAATTGGTAAGTCCAGTCATAACTGATTCATGTAGAAAGGCTCTTGCAAGAAGAATTTGGGCGCGTCCTTATCTTGGATGAAGACATATCTAACTGATTCGCCGCCTGGCTCCCTTCGCAAACAATTTACAAACCCTAATATACCGCAATCAGAGTTGTTTTCAGCAACGAGTGTTATTCTTGAATTCGTCCCGTAGTGTGCATCCATCGCAGATTTGAGCTTATCGATTCACGAAAACTCGTAATTGTTTATACGTATGACTTCTCGTTTCGTTATAACGCTTTCCGCCTTTCTCAAAAGCAGCACTGTTTCTCGTTCTGTGCGTTTTTTCAAAATGATATTTAAATTGTACTGTTGCAGTAGCTCGTTGTCATACGTGACGTTGAGATCCTCTCGAGTAAATAGAAAACCACCAGCCATTACATTGGATAATGAGGAACGTGCACCTTTCGTCAATATCCCGACTCCAATGACTATTAAAAACGTATCGCCATTCAATATTTTGTGAGGCTGTATGACTGATAGATCTTGAGGTAAGGAAGAGCTGTCAAATCTGTTCTCCTTTGCAATTAAGGTGAGATTAGGTCGCACGTTGCAAGTTGCTTAGAACCATGTGAACGATTGGAGTAACTAAATCCTCCAGCAGAATCTTGTCGTCGTCCTCAACGATCTCAACCACTTTGATGTTTTTCAAATCAACATTCAACAACATTCAAGAGCGATATGTACCGATAATTGCACTGCATCTTCCAAGGAGATCGTGGTAGGATCGCGGTAAGCAATGAACTTGTATTCCTCGTGTACAGGCTCAACTTGTGCTGACTGGCGGGATATGACCATGGACTTTAGTCCACGAATTTCTATTCCTCCGGATACAATAGCTTCGAAAGAATCATAAACGCGTACGGGTACGTCTGTAAAAGATGAGCATTATCGAGATGAAAGAGAGGAAACCTGTACAATGAGCGCATTAAGTCGGAATACGAAATTTGTTTTAAAAGTAAACTAAGCAGACTTACATCTTTCCTCCATTGAGAGTTTGCGTATCAGCGTCATATGATGTTCGGGATCGATTACTAATTTGCGAATTTGAGTCGGTACGTAAAGATTTCTCGAGTCGAGCGACAGAATTTTCATTTGTAGCATATTGTCCATAAACGACACCCATTTCGTCGACCACTTGATATGCCCTACGCTCCCATTAATTGAGACGCTTTTCAATGAGCGAAAGAAGTCTCTACACTGATAGCCCCGAAGTCGTAGTTCCTTGTAAATATCTGAAGTGTTCATGTATTCCTCAGCATTGTCATCCTTAGGAACTGGACAGGTATTTTCTCATTTGCAACATCATCAGGCACCCTCACGACTCCGCTGACGATCACATTGCCTCCCTCTATAATCTCGAAATTATTACTGTCTATAAGAATATTACAAGAATTATTACAAGATAATACTGCTCTTTCTGAAATTAACACGGCCGGTTTGTTTTTTGTTGTGAGTTTAATATCGCTGCGACTTTGCAATGATATTCTTTTATTTCTTATCGTCGGTTGTATACAGTTAATAATTAATATTTATCATAATGTCCTTGAAAGGAAATATCGAGAGACAAAGCTCTAGTAATTGCAAAAATATTTACATTCTTGGATCACAAGAGTTAATTCCACTTCGTCTTTTTTCGATAGGTGAGTAGCACGTAGGAACTTAACATTTTTAAATATAATCAGTATACTCCTATGATCAATGCCTTTCAACAAGCCAATTGTATGCCAAATTTCGTAAAGGTAACCCATAGCCGGTAACAAATTTCTCCCATCGATTATGTGACTAGACATATATTCAAAGTCTTCGTCAATGGTTTTAATAGTGACGACTCTTTCCTTGTCCAATGGTTTTAATAGTGACGACTCTTTCCTTGTCCAAAATTCTATTTTCGCCTTTATAATGGTGTTACGTCCTGGAGGAGGAACGCAACTTGACGCTTGCTTTCGCAAGCTCCGACTCGCAAATCTGCGGAATAGATCAAGGATCGGAATGACCCCTTTATCTGGCGCAGACGTACGTCGGTGGTCCTTTATTTAGGTCAAGGAACTGAATCCTTTTACCTGGGATAGGACCGTGAGCGACAGTTGAGGGAAGGGAGAATTTTTGGTTGAGAATAATT